GGATGGCCATGGCCGCTGCCACACCTCCAGGTCCCCAGAACCAAAGGAAGTAGCCGGTGCCCCAACAGTGAAAGAAAGTGGGGCCTAACAGTTACCCATTCATTCACAATATAACTACTGCACAGAGTAGAAGCTGTTAAGCCAGACACCCTCCTAGACTCCAGGGACTCTGCACTGCACCCCTGGCCGGGGAAGTTCATGTTCCAGCAGAATGGGGTCAATGCATGAGAATAAACACCTCCTCCTGTCAGCGTTTTACCACTTTGCAAAACCTTTTGACATCTCTCCACAGTAACATTTGAGACAAATCACGGAGCAGGCAGAGAGAGGGGGCCCAGCCAAAGCAACACCACCAAATTCCCACGGGACCCTCACAGGGCTACAGGGTCCAATGAGCTGACACGTTTCACACCCTGCCCAACACTGGGCAGACACAGCCCGTGGGTGGGCCCCAGCGTTCCCTCCCACAGCTCTGGGCATGGCATCAGACACCTTCTCAAGCCTGAGACATCGACCCAGGCTGCTGCTGAAAGTTCAGGGCCACCACAGGGAGGGCAGAAGGGGAGGGGTAAACAGGCCACAGTCTGCCCCAACCGACTAGCCTGGCTGAGTGACAGGGCAGAATGGGGTACATCACAGCCCATCACTGACGGGGGTCCACAAGGGGGTGCAGAGGACCCTGTAGGAGGATGTCACGGGCGAAGGATGGCAGTGCCATCTGCTCTGATCTCATCTCATCCAGATCAACCAGCCTCATGCACCTGCCCGTCACCCTGGCCTCCCGCTGAACACCCTGTCAGGCACCCTCCACCTTCTGCCTTAGTCACAGGCATATCTGTGAGCATCTCCTCTCCCCCGTGGCTTCCTGTGAGAGAAGAGTGGCAGTTCTCGACACAGCCGTGTCAGCATCCTGGGGAGTCCTTGGGAATGCAGGTTCTCAGGCCCACACCCAGACTCACCCAATCAAAAGCTCTGGAGGTGGGGCCCTGCCATTTGCATTTTACTTCCCCCCTAAGGGTGCTGAGGACACCTGATAATCACCTGGAGAGATCTGAAGGGCTCTGCAGCCCAGGAACTCAGCACCTCGGGGTGGCCAGCATGTGTCCGAGCACCCCAGGAACTCCAGCACATGCAAGGGGAGTGGTGGGTGGGGGCGGGGAGTGTGGGGGCTGGGGAACCCGCTGCAGACACTGCCCCAGGAGGCATCCTGGCTCCTGCTCAGTTGTATTGCCGGGCCCTGGCCCTTGGCCACTGTGGGCGTTGGGCCACTCTGTGACATGGAGAGAATGGGACCACCTCTCAGAATGCAAGCTCTGTGCAACCCCGTTTAACAAGAAAGCCTGTGTCCACCGCCTGGGAGCACAGGGAAGACCCCGGGCACTCTGACAAGGACACACCAAACTGTGTCTCTGACTCAGCTCAGCAACCCATGCCCTGCTGGTCACAGTTCCCTTTTCACCCAGGGGTCTCTTTCTTGGCTGTGACAGTGACCAGAGTCCCTTCGGGACCAGCCACTCTGCAGCCCCATGGGGCCACTTTCATACTCCAGTGCAGGGTGGGCCTTGGGGCTTTGGGGACACTGGTCCAGCCATCCATCTGCTGGCTTCACTCTCAAGGATGAAGCCTCTGTTCCCTCCTCCTTTTTTCCAACTCTAAGCCCACTGAGGAAATGCAGGATGCAGGCTCCACGTGCAGCCGGGAATGAGGCTTGGTCTCATCCCCATCGTGGTGACTGAAGACACTCACTTCCTGCCTCCAAGGAGCAACCCTGGGCACCAGGAAGCCAGCGTGACCAGGTGGCATCTGTGGACCTGCAGACACACCCACCTTCCTTCAAGGCTGGGGAGTGGAGGGTGAGAGGGGCCAGCATGGCTCAGGGGAGCACTGCGAGGACAATGGAGCACACCAGGCCCCACAGGAGCTGAGGGCTCTGTGTGCTGCCCCTCCCATCCCGAGTCTCTGGTGACACATCAGACCAGAGCTCATGTTGCTTTTCTCCTTTCACACTCCATTGTCCCAAAGAGGGAGAGTCTCTCCCCCAGGTAACTCGGCCGTGGTGGGCCCAGGCTGGACGTGGGTTGCAGGCTCCATGAGCTCGGACTCTGAGAAGCCATTCCAGATGCCGCCTGAGGTTTGCCCTCTTCTCAGACATGTTTTAAATGCTAGACTCCGACTTTGTTCCATGACTTGGGAGACCCATCTAGGAGGAGAGGGAGGGAGCTTGGGGGCTGTATCCCCCCCGACACTGCACGGGTCCAGGCTACGCATCACCCCTCCTGCAGTGCCCACGTCTCCGTGTGTGCGCCTGAGCGTGTATGTGAGGGTCCAAGCTGTGTGTGTGAGAGCTGCGAAGGTGTTTACAAGAGTGTGTGTGTGTGTGTTGTGGGGCGTGTGTATGTACTGAGTGGGACACTGTCAGCCAATCTGGTTCTCACAAAGGGACGGGGCTCCAAAGCCCCATGTGTAGCAGGTAGGTGCAATCAGGAACCCACTTTATCCTCCCTGACCTCGGCCCAGGCACTGGCCAGGCCCTCCACACCCGTGATCTGGACTTAGCTCTCTCCTCTCCCTCACTCAGTGCCCCTCCCGCATGAAGTAACACACCGGCAAGGCCTCTCCAGGAGACTCAGGAGCACCGAGGCTGGCTGGCCAATGCGCCCCGGGTCCGAGCTGCTCCGACTTCCTTGTGCCCCTCTCGCCCCCCTGGCCCAGCACTCTGGCCCACTCCTGGTCCGCACTGCCCATCGATCAGCCTCGAGGAACCCCACACTCTCCCCTGTCCGGAGGAGCACGGAGGCCCCAGGCCCGGGAGGGGGCTGTCCTTAGGTCCCAGGCCTTCAGGGCAGGCAGGTGCCCTTACTCCTGTTTCACAGGTGTGGAAATGAGGGCTCAGAAACACTGGAGACCCGCCAGAGCGGAGGCCCCTGGGTGTGCTGACTCTGAGCTCCGCCTACACCACCACCTCGGCTCCTTCATGAGACAAGCACCCCAGCTTCTGTGGGGTTTGTCAGAAAGCTCCTCAGTCCTAACAAACTCGCCTGGTCGTCGGACTCTAAAATAAACCAGTTCTGTGCCCCCCGGAACCTCAGTGGGAGCTGTCAGCAGCACCCAAAACCTCTTTTTAAACCTCACCTGATGACATGTTTATTGATTTCAGAAAGAGAGAGACAGATGGGGGTGGGAGTGGGGGAAACATCGATGTGAAACATTGATCCCTTGCCTCCCATATGCACTCCAACCGGGGACCAAACCTGCAATCTAGGTATGTGCCCTGACCAGGAATCAAACCCGTGACCTTCTGGTGTACAGGACGAGGCTCCAACCAATTGAGCCACCTGGCGAGGGCCCCAAATCTTTGACAATGCCATGTCCTGCTTTGTAACTACTTCTTGTCCACTGAGGTCAACAAAACAAACATAATACAAAAGGTAAAAAAAAAAAATCACTGAAAGGAAAGAAATACGGCAAAATGCCAACAAGAGTCTCTGGTGACACATCAGACCAGACCTCATGTTGCTTTTCTCCTTTCACATTCCATTGTCCAATTTCTCTATATGGGGCAAATATTACATTTATATTGGAAAAAAATAACTACGGAACCTCATCTGATCCTGAAATACCAGGTGAGTAGTCATAAACGCAGCTCCTGTTTATTTCTATCGCCTGAACGTTTCCGGGGGAGTAGAGAGGAGGTGAGCACAGCAATTCTGACCTCGGTGCTCGGGTAGTGATGCCATTTTTCTGTCAGCCTCTTGGAATGGATTCGTCTCCCTCTAAAGCCTCAGATGCTGTGAGTGGCAGATATTCTGCCAACAAACCGTGGCCACCATTTCTGTCCTTTCACTAGGGATCAAAGGTCATTGACAACCAGAACCAAATGGGCTAAAATTTTAATTAAGTGATGAGGTTGGGAAGGCCTGAGCATACCTGAGCTGGGAGCTTTCCTCGAGTAACCCTAGGACTGCCCCTGGCTGAGAATACAGAATCATCCAGAAAGACACTCGTCCTGGAAGCTCTGGCCTGGGCACACTGAGGGACCCAAAGCAGTCCCCAGATCCTTTTCCCAAGCACCAGGACTCTCGTGGCGGACCTCAAGGGCCCCCCTGACCCAGGAAAGCGAACAGACAGTAGGGACTCCTGGTTAACTCAGGCAGGAACTGCTCCTTTAGAAGCCAGGAGCGTGGCAAACAGACAGCCCTTGGATTTCAACAGGACAACTTCCTTCAGCCTGTGGCAGGCACCTGCCTTGTTTCTCGGTCCACAGCCTCCCACAGCCTCACCTGGACCAGATCCAGGTGTATGAGCTCACCACTGCAGCTCCCAGGGAGACAGTCCCTGGGCACCCCCTCTTCCAGCTCTAAAGCCCCTATGCCTGCACCAACACCAAAGATACCTCAAAATTCAACATGGTGCCCACCCACATCAACTCCGGACTCACTGCTTAGGGTTCTGAAGCTCTGCTGACCCCAAACTCAGTGAGTCCTGCAACCCCTTCGGAACAACTGCTGGCCCACGGTACCAAGGCTTGCCTGTCGCCTACAGACAATATAATATGTTCAGCTGTCTCCCAGCACCCAGGGACAATCTGGGCTGGAGGCCAGGTGGCCAGGGCAGCTTCCACCCTCCTTCCACACCCGGGCAATGCTGGGCACACCTCTCCCAGCTGGGAATGCGGCCACGGAGGCACTGCACCTTTCTCTTCGCCGGCACCATCCTATGCAACTTACCAGAATGGCCCACTTCTTTGTTCGTCAAGATTTTACATTAAACATCAGCATATAAACAGACAAAAGACATATTGCTCTATTGGAGGAGGGGCTGTAGGACCCAGAACCTCTTGCCTCATCTCTGAGAACCTCTGAGGAACCCCAGGGCTCCAAAGCACATAGTTTGAGAAATGCCAGTGTAGGCCTTTAACCAGGCAGCACGGCTGACTAGACTGGGCCCAGCTGGCAACTCAGAACCACCTGATAACCCATGCCCTCTCCACACTCTCCTACCTGGAGGCCGCAATCTCCGCCTTCTGCTTGGCAATGGTGGCGGCCCGCTCTGCCGCCTCCACTGCCCGATCCACCTTCTCGCGGATCTTGCTGGCGCGCAGCGGGATGAGGTTCTTGCGCTTGCCGCTCACAAGGATGTTCTGCTTGTACTTGCCCTCCTCCTTGGTGCCATCGGGGAAGGTCATGCAGCCGTAGCCGTGCCGCCGGTTGCTGGCCCACTCGCCCTCATACTTGAGCCCGTCGGAGCGCTGGCTCACGCCGAAGCCCGCCCGCTTGTCGTTCTTCCACTCGCCCACGTAGGTCTCCGTGGTGGTGGCGTCGATGTCGTCCTCGATGACCGACAGCTCGGCCTCGCCCTCACCCAGGCTGATGGTGGAGTGGATGTCGCTGGCCGTGGAGCTGACCGTGCTCATGCCGGCCTCGCTGCGGAACGAGCTCTGCTTGCTGCGCTGGCTGGCCAGGCTGCTCTTGGACTCCGACTTGCGCAGCTTCAGCCCGCTCAGCAGCGAGCGCCGGAACAGCCCCTTCTTCTTGCTCTTGAGGATCTCGGAGTCACTGTGGGCCACCAGCACGAAGCCCCCTCGGGACACGGCCGGGGAGCCGGCCACCGCCGGGGAGGCGTCCGGGTGCAGCGCGGCACCGTTGGTGTGCTCGCTCCGAAGAGAGTTGATGGACGTCCTCAGGGGCGAGCGGATGACAGCCGCCATGCCATAGGGGACACTCTGCCGCACACCATAGCCTTGGCGCATGCCTCCGACCCACTGGCCCTGGTAGGTCCCTGTGGAGACAGAGGAGACAAAGTGAGCTCCCAAGACAGTGATGGAGGAAGGGCACCTTATACAGTAGACAGAGCCTTCACGGTCCTCTCTGTCTTGGGACAGCTTGGTGAGGCTAACAGTGAGGCTGACAGGCTGTGGTGCATTTTTACAATTTGTATCACCAATGGTTGTTTTTAAAGACACGTCCATGCTGCTTCCCACAGTTGCATTTGCATTTTGTCCTCTCCCTTAAAAGTTGGGGAGGGGGAAGAGAGGCCTCATAGTCTGTGATGTGCAGGCAGGAGCACAGAGTCAAGAGTGAACTGGAGAGCTCCCCCATGCACAGGCAGAAGGCCACCTCGGAAAAGACTGGGAAGAAGGAAGAAGCAGCATATCAGCAGCTACAGGGACACAGATCTGGGCTACAGACTGAGTACTGAAGAGGCTGCTTTGCAGGTAGTAACTTCCCCATTGCCAGAGGCATCCAAGAAGAGTTCAGAAGAGCACTTGTTGGGGACACCTTTAACTGCATGGGGACCTAAGTGCTTGGAGACCTTAAGGCATTGAAATGAGCAGACCTGATATCCCCAGAAGAGTGAAAAGTGGGGGGACTTGAAGAGATATTTGTCACATTCATAGCAGCACTATTCACAGCAGCCAGCAGCCAGCAACAACCCATATGCCCACTGACCCATGAATGAATGAACAAAGTGGGGTCTATCTATGGCGTGGAATGTTATTCACCCCTAAAAAGGAAAAAAATTTTGGCATATGCTACAACATGGATGAACCTTGAGGATGCTATGCTGAGTGAAAACCTATATGGTTACGTTTGTCATTGCATTGAGTAGTTAAATTCATAAAGACAGAAAATGGAATGGTGATTGCCAGGGGCTGGGGGAGGGGAAATGGGGAGTTGTTTAATGAAAACAGAGTTTCTGTTTCAGGTGATGGAAAAGTTTTGAAAATACAGGTGATGGTTGCATAACAGTGAATGTAATTAATGCTTCTGGACTGTGCTCTTAAAAGTGATTAAAATGGGGGACTTCTGGTCAAGGTAGAGGCATAGGTAGTAGACATGCTTCACCTCCTTTTGCAAACATAGAAAGAATTTTAACCAGATCTCAAAAACTAATAACACTCAGAACTGTCTGAAAATTGAGCTGTATGGAAGTCTGACAACCAAGGACTTAAAGAAGCCACATTCATCCAGATGAGTAGGTGGGGTGGAGTCGCAGAGATGGCGTGGAAAGGTGGTGGGATGGACAGCCCCACATGCACGTGTGGCAGATAAAAATTAGGAGGGATACCTTGGAGCGAGCAATCCTAGCCCCAGCCCAGACCACAGAGCCCAGGGCCCCAGCACTGGAAAAAAAAAATCCCCATTACCTCTGGCTATAAAAACCAGTGGGGGTTGGGGCAACAGAAGAAACTGCTGGATTTTCACTGCTTTAAGAGCCCGCACAGACTTAAACCATATGCAAACCCCAGGGCAGCAACTGGAAGGCTATCAATTGCATATGGAAAGTGGGTGAAGTGACTGGGAATGGGGTGAGTACCAGGCAAAACTCCAGAAGCCAAGCATTGTTCCCTCTCTGAGTGCCCCCCCCACACACACAGCCACAAAGCGGTGAAGCGGGTTGCCCTGACATGGCGATTGTCTAAGGCTCTGCCCCACACGATTTACAGGTGCCTTTTTTACAAAAGCCACACTGCTAAGACAGGGAGTCAATGTAGCTCGATCTAATACAAAGAACACAGGGAGGCTGCCAAATTGCGGAGGCAAAGAAATATAGCCCACATAAAAGCACAGAAGAAAACCCCAGAAAAAGAACTAAATGAAATGGAAATAGCCAATCTATCAGATGCCGAGTTCAAAACACTGGTGGATCAGGATGTTCAGAGAACTCATTGAGTACAACAACAAAATAAAGGAAGAAATGAAGGCTACAGTAAATGAAATAAAGAAAAATCCATAGGGAACTAACAATAAAAGGAAGGAAGCCTGGATTCAAATCAACGATCTGGAACAGAAGGAAGAAATAAACATTCAACAAGAACAGAAAGAAGTAACATTCAACAAGAACAAAAAATGAGGAGAGGCTTAGGAACCTCTGGGACAACTTTAAAAGTACCAACATCTGAATCATAGGGGTGCCAGAAGGAGAAGAGGAAGACCAAGAAATTGAAAAATTATTTGAAAAAATAATAAAAGAAAACTTTCCTAATTTGGTGAAGGAAATAGATGTGTAAGTCCAGGAAACACAGAGAGTCTCAAACAAGTTGGACCCAAAGAGGGACACACCAAGATAGGTATATCATAATTAAAATGCCAAAGGTTAAAGATAAAGAGAGAATTTTAAAGGCGGCAAGAGAAAAGCAGTTACCTACCTACGAGGGAGTTCCCATAAGACTATCAGCTGATTTCCCAAAAGAAACTTTGCAGGCAAGGAGGGGCTGGCAAGAAGTATTCAAAGAAATGAATAGCAAGGACCTACAATCTAGATTACTCTGTCCAGCAAACCTTTAATTTAGAATGAAAGGGCAGATAAAGTGCTTCCCAGACAAGGTAAAGCTGGAGGAATTCATCATCACTGAGCCATTATTACATGAAATGTTAAAGGGGCTTATTTAAGAAAAAAAGATCAAAACCATGAACATTAAAAAGGCAACAAATTCACAATGATCAACAACTGAATCTAAAAACAAACAAAAAAACTAAGCAAACAACCAGAAGAGGAACAGAATCATAGGTATGGAGATCATTTGGAGGGTTACCAGCTGGGAGGGAGAAGGGGGAGAATGGGGTAAATGGGTAGGGATTGTGAAGCATAATTGGCAGGGCAAAACAGACAGGGGGAGGTTCAGAACACTAGGAAATGGAGAAGCCAAGGAACTTCCACACATGACCCATGGACATGAACTAAGCAGGGGGATTGCTGGAGGGAAGGGGATTACTGGGAGGAGGGAGGCAAAGAGAGAAAAACTGCGACAACTGTAATAGCATAACCAATGAAATCTACTTTAAAATGTGATTAAAATTGTATGTTTTATGTTATCTATATCTTACCATAATAAAAGAAAAAGAAAAAAATTAGCAAGACTGGGCTCATATTCTTGCTCTGCTTATTTTCTCTGTGACTTTAGGCTAGTTCCTGGACCCCTCTGACCCTCAGTTTCTCCAACTGTAATAGAAGGAGTCTAAAATTCCTCACGCCATAAGTCGTTGTAAGAATTAAATGACCCTCAGCATGGTAGCATACATGAAGTAAACCTCAATCTGCATCTGTCCTGCTTCTTATTAGAATTATTACCAGGCCTCAGCAAGGCACCCATGAGAGGACTCCTCACTCCACCTGGGAAGGGCTTTGGGGTGAGAACGGGGGTGGAGTATGTCCCATCACTCTTTCAACCCACTGTAGCGGGGGGTGCAAACCAGAGGCTCAGAGGCTAAAACTTGCCACTATACAGGTTTTAATGGTCCCACACAGCATTTTTATTAAAAAAAATTGAAATTAATAGCCAACATTTCAAAGTCAAAAGATTTCACAGAAAAGTTCAATTCTCTTGTTTCTCCTAAAAAGTACAAGATCTGGCAACCTTGGGTCTTTAATTTCAGGGAGCAAAACAGACTGGAGTGCAGCAGCAGTTGCCTCCTCTAGACAGGCACACCCCTTCCAGTCTGCCCCACCCCCCGCTACTCCCTACTGTCTCCCACCCAGGCCGTCTCCTTTATTTATGTGTCCTGCACTGGAGGTAAAAATCCAAACTCAGTGTGGAATCCCAATACATGGCCCCACATGACCTGTCACTGACTTGTCACCACTCCATACTGCCTTCACCCCCAAGTCAGAACTGGTCCTGGCCACTCATGGACTTTTCTGTCTCTGAGACCTTGCCCACACAGCCTGTCCTTACTCAAAATCCCCACCCTACCATTCAAATCACACCCAACCCAGCCCAGCTTGCATCCCCTTCTCAACACAGCCTGGTGGAACACTCCAACCCACAGTGTTCCCCCCGCCAGCACACATAACCTGGGGGCATTTGTCCAACACTGCGTGGACAGACTCAGGAGAGTGCCTGGGCTCTTCCACGTTTGCTGAGTGCATTTTCCCTGCTCACTCAGATTACATGCTCCAGGGGGAATGGGCCTTGTGTTCTAGATACCCATTCCCTATGCAACATGAGCCCAGCCCTCAGGGGAGGATGTGCAAACAGCCCGGAATTGGCCAAGGCCCCAGACAAAGACCGGAGCACCCTCTGCTCCAGTAGAAAGTAGCCTGTCCATTTTTAAAAAGATTTTATTTATTTATTTATTTTTAGAGAGAGGGGAAGGGAGGGAGAACAAGAAGGTGAGAAATATCGATGTGAGAAAGAAACATCCATCAGTTGCCCCTCGCATGCCCCCAGCCAGGGATCTGGCCCACAACTGAGGCACGGGCCCTGACTGGGAATTAAACTGGCGACCTTTCGGTTTGTGGGATTTCAAAAGTGATGCACGACCCAGGTGCTTTCTAGGATTGCAGCCTGGAACCTGTGAACATCATTCGTTGGGGGTGGGGGCACAGGGGGTTGGAAGGGCAGGGAGGAGCCAAGAGGAGGTGGTCTCAGCTGGACCCCTGCCTCAGCCTGATGGCATGGGGAGCTGAATGGAATTCACCCCGCCCTGAGGTGAGGGGTCGGACTTCTCGACTCTGAAAGCTGGGACTGGAGGTACAGGATGAGGCAGCTAAGGTAAGGAGGAGGTCTGCTGCCATCCACACAGGAAGCTACCCCCAACTGGGGGGAAATGCTGAGCACCCACTTCCCTCCTCCCACCCCTGCCCTGACCAAGGGCTTTCCTGCCTCCTGCAGCAGTGGGCACCTCCTCCCCAAGGAGTCATTACACCTGCATGCCCCACAGCGCCCCCTACCCACACCACCACCCCACAACCAGCCAGTCTGACTGCCAGGAAAGGATAGTCAGCAGGCAAAGGCAGTGGCTGATTTTGTGTTGCTCAGCATCCCAACGTGGCCC